AAAATGAATTAATAAATAAAAATAAATATTAAAAAAATTAAAAAGTAAAAAAAATAAAAATAAAATATTTGAAAAAATGTAAATAAAAAAATGTTTTGGTTTTGGCCTGACAATTTTTTTTATTTCGGTTTCATTTCAGTTTTGAAATTTCCATTTCCGTGTACCTCTAAAAAAAATAAAGATTATTGAAAAAAAAAAGAAACAATTGGGCAAAGCTAGCTCTGCCCAACTGTTTCCTATTGGCCGGGACCTGCTAGAGTCTTCTAGCAGGTCCCGGCAAATGAATAACAACTGGGCGGAGCTTGCTGTGATGTCACGGCCAGCTCTGCCCAGTTGTCATTGTTTAATGACAGTTCAGTATCCCCAGGTAACCTGGTGACGCTGATCTGTCCTTGCAACTGGGCAGAGCAAGTTGTGAGATCACGGAGCTGTACGAGCTATAGTAAATAGCCCGTACAGCAGCCCTTCGGTTAGACTGAACCGAAGGGCTCCGGCAGCCGAAGCTAGCCGAAGGATCAGGCTAGCTTTGTGAATAACCCTCTAAGTGCCATTATAAATGGAACAAGCCATAGACTATAATTAGCACCTTTTAGCTACAGTAACACTTGCTTTTAGAATACCAGGTCAAACAAGAAAAGAAATGCATTGATATGTTCTGTCTTAGATTCCATAGTAGATCAAATATGTTTTTCAAAACAATATTGTCAAAAGAAAGTCCTTTGTCCTCACAAAATATGGATTGCTTTTATCATAAGTAATGACAAAGTTATTGCTGAATCAATAGTCCTATACTGAAAATGTTAAAGTTACAGATAAGGTGTCCTTAAAGTTAAGGATCAGGTGTCAGAGTTGATGTAATTGAAAATGTAGTATTCAGCAAAGGATAGTACATTTCAAACATACAGGCTAATCAAAATGAATACATATGTTGACTATGAAATGATAGGGTAACCATTAATTCTTAGTGCACTACCAATAGAATACTGGCTCTCAGAAACAATAAGGCTGCCAATGGGTTATTCTTGGAGATGGTAGAAACAGTCTGTTAACTCCATTCTTGACATTTCTACTTTTTGGATTTGAAAGGTTTACATAAATA